ACAAAAATACAGACATGCAGTAGTGACACCTACTCCAGAAAGCAAAATGAGCTGGAACTGGCAACTACAAAATACAAAATTTGAATGCGTCTGATAGTTTTAGGACTGGGCTTCGTGAGACATGGAGGCAAAAGTAACCTCAATCCAGCAGTTCCCAGCTCTGACCTTAAAGCCATTCTGCCCATGTCTCAGTGAAATAGGAGGGGATAATTCAGTATCCTATAAAGCTGGTTAAGCAGGGCAAAACTCTTATCTAGTCAACTTGAGCAAGGTGAAGTTTCATCTCAGATTTGCCTTGAATTATCCTGGCAAGGATCACACCTCTTATGTAATGTGCAGAGCCTCCATCAAAAGAAACAGAAGAGAAGCCAGCCAAACTAAGGAAACTCCTGCTGACTTGGCAATAGCATTCATCTCACTCAGACTGGGAGGTGACCTGGAATTCCAGCTCTGCATTAAAGTGATCTCAAATGAAAATTATTTGTACAAGAGGATGCTCTTCAGTGTTTGTTGTGCTTATATCCAAGGTACAGGTATTAACAGCTGACAGAGACCACAGTAGGAAGACCCACCTGGCACCGCACATTATTTTTGCTTGGCAGCTGAAAGCTAATCATAGAAAAGCCTCACAGTCTGTCCACACCTACACAGCCTAAAAGCCGTGAAAGCACTGGAGTCCATCGAGCCTGGATATTCTATCTGGACATTCAGCCACTGCTTTGGGATTTCAGGCCATTAGCTTCACTTCTCTGCTCCTGGAAAATGGACAACAGGCCAAAAGTAAGGAAAACAGCAGAGAAACCATATGCCAAGATAAGCATGGCCAGTGTGAATCTGGGGACGGATGTGACAGCACTGGGGAGCAGACCCAAACTGCAGCAGTTGCTTTGGACTGGAAGCAGGTCACAGTGAGTTCACAGGAAATGTCTGCCACCAGCTCTGCCAAGTTCCCCCAGAATAAAGCTTGGGCAACCTTCCAGCATCACACAAAGCCGCTGCGGCAAAAGCAAAGCGAATCTCAAGTGCAGCCCTTCCACTGTCCTCATCATGAGATTGTCCCATCTCTTCCTGAGGAGTCTCTAACCTCTAGCTCAGACACTAACTGCCACCAGAACTTTTAGGTTAATGCAGTGGGAGACCATTTAGAGTCACAGAATGGGTTGGAAGCAACCTTAAAGCCCACCTAGTTCTAAATCCCCTGCTGTGGGCAGGACTACCAGCCACCAGATCAGGCTGCCCAGGACCCCATCACCCCTGGCCTTGAGCATCTCCAGGAATAGGGCATACACTGCTTATCTGGGCAGACTGTTCAGTGCTTCACCATCCTTACTGTGAATTTCTTCTAATATAAATATATATATAAATCTATAAATATATATAAATAAATATATATAAATATAAATATAAAAACTCTTTTAGTTTGAAGTCAGCTCCCCTTGTTCTGTCACTACACTCCCTGATAAAATCTCTCCCCATCCTTCTTGTAGGTCCCTTTTTATGTACTGGAAGGTCACAAAGAGGTCTCCCCGGAGCTTTCTACTCTCCAGGCTAAAACAAACCCAGCTCCTTCAACCTGTCTTCATAGGAGACCACAGGGTTGTCCAAAAAGTCTTGCTGAGTCTCCAGAGGAGTTCACCCTGGCCAAGAAATTAAGAAATGTCAGATACAAACAGAGCACTTGAGATGTATGGTTGCATAGAGCTTATAAGGCAGATGGAAAGATTCTGCTCTGACTTTAATCAACTGCAGTAATTTTAAATAAAATAATCCTAAAGGTATTCTTACACCTCACTTACTTCATTAATAACAAACCTCAATTAACAAAATTCTTGCCTAAATAATTTAAACAGCACTAAGCCCTTAAAAAAATTGATTTGTAAAACAATTAGGGAGCAATAATGTTAAGCACCTCAGAGGATGACCAGTCATTATCCCCTAGTAAATTACAGGCCTTAAACATTTGTGATTCTAATGGCAGTCTCACTCCTATTCTGATGATTGTGTAGTGGGCAACTGGGGATCAAGCAGTTTACCATCTTATTGACAGACTGCTATTTAGCAATGGTCAGAGATGAGATGTTTCCACAGCAGAGTTAGATGGTCTTCAGCAAGTAGCATCTTGAAACTTAAAGGATGTTAATAGCAGTATTTTGTTATGAGGCTGCGTTTCGCATGCCCAGAACGGGCAGAAGGCTGCCCTTTGAAGGCTCCACAGAAAGCTATATTCAGCAGAGGAAAGGATTTGGACCAAGGGCTCTTAATAAATAACCTCGTCTGTATCTTCAGGCTTTTCAGGACCTGTCCCTCCATCTGAGATCCCAGACACTGCTACACAGACACCCACGGTACTGATGGCAGCAGGACCCGACACGCAAACATCACATGAAGATTACTCACAAAATCGTGCACACAAATTCAGGGCTGAGAGCATGCTTGAAACAGATTCATGCCTAAGCCACAGGCTGAATCCTGCTCATTTTGTTACTCTCACAGCCTGTCCTTATTCACAACCGCACATACTGCAAGTGAAGGATTGCGACTGAGAAATCCATGGCTGTTTACACAGGTGCTTATATTTGGAAAACAATTCTGCTAGCCTATATTCAAACACGAAACCTGCAAAACCTGGTTTAAATTATTATGCAAGCACCAGGACAGCATGGATACCTGCATGAGAATGTACATCGGTCAGACCTTTACATAAGGCTTCTGCTTTTAACAGGCAGGAGGAGGAAGGAGCCACGGTGCAAATTAAGGAGCTGCTGCTACTCAGCTGCCAGGCTTCAACCCAGGTTACCACAGGAGCTTTCTCTGACCTTGCTGAGCTGCTACCGAAGCTCTCTTTCTCCAGATACAGAATACAAAGGGAACTAATACAAGTTGCAGCTTGATAAATCCCTTAACGGATAACCTTGTAGTTTGCTTAGATAATGGGAAGGGTCTGTGTCTTTGTATTGCATAGATAAGCGAGGTTCCATGAGACTTTGTACTGAATATGTATGTACCTCTCAGAAGACCTCTGAATGCTGAAGACCTTCTTTGTGCAAGACATACACAATTGGAGGAGCATTCCCCCCATGCATCCAGCACTGATAATGAAGAATGCCTGCTCTCTAACACTCCAACCCAGGTCTTAGAGAGTATCAGCTGCTTTACAGTAACAGAGCAGCACTGCCCAGTTTTGAAAAACATGTTAATATAAAGTTAGCTGCTTGGGGACCACAAGCTACTTCAATACAAGCCAAGTAAGAGAAATACAGAACAGTCAGCTCTTTTCTTGGCAGCAATAACCTGGATATTTGAACACCTGTATTGTATTATTATACAATATCGTAACATACAAAGAAATACATGCAAACACTGTATTCTACAAAACAGTAATGTGAGAACTTGCAATTCCTCAAAGATTTTTAGCAGATTTGTTCTTCACAACTGTTTCAGAACCAGAACATGCGCAGGAAGACTGGAGAGAAGAGCAATCGACCCAGTATTAGGCTATTATAGCAGGCAGTACTGATTCGAGGTCCACACACAGGCTATATGGAGCAGTTAAAACAAAAGCTCATATTCATAGACAGTTTCCAGCAGAAACTGAAATGTGAATCTCTTAAAAAAAAGGAATGGTAGCACAGAGATTGACATTGCTTCCATTAGTTGCTTCACAATATAGACCACTTTACCTCGTATGGACTTTGATTTCATAACTTTCTGCCAATTCGCAGAGAAACAGATCTATGTCAGTAAAAATACAGAGTTCTGTGTCACCATTATTTGACGACTTTTGTTTATTCAGTATATGTATCTCCAGGGAAAATTTCCTTTAAAAATAAAATGTGTTTCTTAAATCAAAATGATTTAGGGTTCCTTTTGTTTAGCAGTGCAGTAACTGATCAAGGGGCAGACACAAGAAATTGCAGATCATTTTACCGCAAGATACAATCTTCCATAAGCATGTTTGAGAAAGCCACTTAAAAGCTTAAGCACTGGAAAAACATACAGGGAAGTGGAATGGTTGAGGATCCACATTGAGTTTGCTTCTAAACTATGTGGCTGAAACAGTCTTAAAATTGTTTTTTTTTAACTGAAGTTGCAGCAGTAGTTTCAGACTTCAAAGCAACACTTGGTTTATAAACAAGAAAAATAATGCATCCGGCTCTTTCCTACATCACCTAACAGGGATATTAAAAAAAATAATCATCTGTCCCAAAAATGTGTATCTGTGGCATAATGAGATTTAATTGAATTAAAGCCTGAGAAAACTAATGCAGTTGCCCTCCCAGTTTGTATCCAATGCTTTAGGACGAGGAGCTGTTAGCTCTGTATTAGAGGGATGGCTTCTCTCAGGCCTACCCAACTAGAGGGCATTACCACAAACCCACTGTCACCTCTCTGCTTTCCTTTCCTGCTCCTAGACTCAAGGGTGTGCTTCTGGAAACCCGCAAAGTTGGCTGTACCAGCGGACGAGATGCTAAGTGATCACACACCGGCCCCAGTTCACAATTAACAAACAAAAGCTGAGTCGCACTCACAACCAACAGCAGGACCAAAAAAAAAAAAAAAAAAAAAAGAAGAAGAAAAAAAAAAGTCATTCCGGCTGCTGCTGAAGAAAGGGAGCCTTCCTGAGGGCAGCCTGATCACCGCTCATATGCGCTCCTTAGAGGACAGAGAGAAAATCCAGCTTCCCCCTGGAAAAGGAGATCTGTGATCTGTCCGCACTCTCTCTCACACACACACCTATCGGAGAGCACACACGCACCCCCCCACAGCACACCCTTCAAGTCGGGCTCACCCCAGAGCCGGAGCCCGCCTCCCGCAGCCCCCATCCGCGCAGCCGGCAGGGCAAGGACGAGCCACCCCGAAAAGTTTTGCCGTCGGCGGGTCCCGGCCCGGCCCTCGCCCCGCGGGCTCCGACAACAAAGGGACGGGGATGGAGACGCGAGCGCGGGGCTGCGCGCACCGCCGGCCCCCGTCCCCGTCCCCGCGTGCCCTTGGGCCGCTACCTGAAGACGGCGACCGCAGTGTGGTTCCTCCTCCACGCCTTGCCCTGCTGCAGCAGCACCCCCTGAACGATCTCCTTCTCGTCGGGCAGCCGGTACACGGGGAAGATGTAGAGCCAGCAAAGGACGAAGACGCCGAGGGCGCTGGCCCCCACGGGCAGCCGGGTGCGCGGCCACTTCCAAGCCAGCCCCGCCATCCTCCTCCCGCAGCGCTGCCGCGGCGCCGGGCTACGCTCCCGCATCAGGCCCGCACCGCGCGGGGCCGCTCAGCC